GTATCTGAACACTAGGATTCTACAAGTCTATTAATATCATTAGTATCTGAACACTAGGATTCTACAAGTCTATTAATATTATTAGTATCTGAACACTAGGATTCTACAAGTCTATTAATATCATTAGTATCTGAACACCAGGATTCTACAAATCTGATATCATCATCAGCATCTGAACACTAGGATTCTACAAATCTGATAATATCATTAGTATCTGAATACAAGGATCATACTTTACAGACAGTACATCATAGGATCAGACTTTACAGACAGTACATCACAGGATCATACTTTACAGACACCACATCATAGGATCATACTTTACAGACAGTACATCATAGGATCATACTTTACAGACAGTACATCACAGGATCATACTTTACAGACAGTACATCACAGGATCATACTTTACAGAGAGTTCATCATTTCCTATGAGTTATTATGCTTCTCCAAGTTATCTTACCTTTCCTGGCAAAGTTCCCTGCAGCTAAAGCTCCACCTATCTGAAGGTTCTCATCGTCTGAGGTAATCCATGCCATTGTTTTTTTGTACACTTCTGTCGTCCCTCCATTATAAAGCTTCTCCATGCTGTCATCTGATTGAAATAACATTTAAAAGGTCAGTTTAAAATCCTTAAACTATGATGAAATACAAACAAAAAATGTTTGGTAAAAACACATTTATTGAGTTACCTTTCCTTATTACATCTTGAGTTTCATTTTATCAAAAACTTTGTTTTACTAGAATACATTCCACCAAGAATGAAAAGTTTCATTCTAAAGATACAATTCTTTTATTATGTCCTCTCATGTTTATTATCAAGCTTAATTCATTGTTTAAAACGTGTTTCATGAGATTTTTTGGTTTAAGCACAAAGCTACACAATAAGCTACACGTCCTCTGCCCACTATGGGTATCACTATCTGCCATGTCCACGGCTGGGAATTGAACCCTACTGTAAGTCTGTAAACTTACACTTGTTCTATTGGGGAAAGTGGGTATCGAAACTCAACTTTTTAGTGTCGTATATCTGCAGACTTAATGTTGAGCCAAAGGGGTGGGGATTGGGTTATGTTTTTACAAAACAGTCTTAACAAATGCTACAGTGTTTGCTGATAGATTTGCACATGAACACGTAAAACTGAACCTATCATAAATTTAAAATAAATGTAGATTATGTGATGGCTACTGGCTAAGGTAGAAAAACGTTTATTTTAGTTGTTTAATTGTTCCTGTAATGATAATTTAAACTGCTCACAAGTTATGGTACAATATTAGTGTAGAAAATACGATACGATTTTCATTCTAATAAAACTCACACAACATTCCATACGTACAGGTTTAACATTTAACCCTAACATACAGAAATAACTACAACATTATAAACACAGAGACGTGAATGTTTTCTCTTCTTTCTTACAAACAAATCCTACCTCCAGTTAAGATTAGGATGATGAGGTCACACACCGTCTTAAGAATGTTGTAGCTTTCTCCATTATAAGCTCCCTCTTGACACTTCTGCATTAACTTCAAAAGTCGTTCACAGAATCCTAGTTCTGCCAGCTGTAGTTTCACTTCGTCTTGGATAGAACAAAAACATTCTTAACAACATACAAAAAATGCAAACATTCAGTTTTAAGTTACATATATATATGTATGTATAAAAACACATTTTCGGCCATCCAACCCTCATTACAAAGTGTGTTCAATATTTCACAATGTTTCACCAAGAAGGAGAAAGTGTGTGTCTTTTAAACACAAATGTTCTCTGAAAATGTTCCTATTTTGTGTTTCATGCCAAACATATGGGTAATAACCACAAAAATTCAAACAATAGTCTATTTAATTGATGTGTTCATTCTAATTTATTTGTCATGTGTCTACTTTAAATGTTTCATATCTTTAAAATGTTTTTTTAATTGATAAAGCCTCTTCGGGTTTCTAAACTCTAAATGCCATTTGACACAATAATTCTTCGTTACAGTCCACTTCTTATTTCCGCTCATGTCGTCTTTCATAAGTTTGATTGTAAGCGAAACGTACCGTCGGCCAAACGTATGCTGATACACCAAGCTCTAATACTTTGAAAATATTTAAGACCTACTTTGTAAATGACAATCATACAAAACTGATATAATAATAAAATAGAAAAACCAAGTCACATCCACAAGTGCTTGAACAAAGAAACCTTTATCAATAATACTGGAAACTTTTACAGTGGATAATATAGTTGGTATTTGTTATAAGCTATGAACAAACTTACCCTGTAGCTTATCTGTAACACAGTGCCTTAAACCTAAAATCATATACAGTGTTAATAAATAAAATTACTGGTTTTCCATAAGCTATGAACAAACTTATCTGTAACACAGTGCCTTAAACCTAAAATCATATACAGTGTTAATAAATAAAATTACTGGTTTTCCATAAGCTATGAACAAACTTACCCTGTAACTTATATGTAACACAGTGCCTTAAACCTAAAATCGTATACAGTGTTAATAAATAAAATTACTGGTTTTCCATAAGCTATAAACCAACTTACCCTGTAACTTATCTGTAACACAGTGCCTTAAACCTAAAATCATATACAGTGTTAATAAATAAAATTACTGGTTTTCCATAAGCTATGAACAAACTTACCCTGTAACTTATCTGTAACACGGTG